TGAACATACAAAACAAAAACACACAGTAAATTTTCCATGTGTAAAGTGTATGTGTGCATACACTATCACTGCATATGTAGCTCAAACAATTACTTCAACCTAGTGCATCAGCAGGGAAGCTTTTGAGCAAGCCATTTTTATGCTGATGTAAATTTGAGAACATCTGACATAAAAAAAATGTAACTACACAACCTGAGCTTCTGAAACTAGTGTCCAGTATATCAGCGCTGGACAATGCTGACAGAAGAGGGAAAACCTAACCTTGGATGTGAAACTGGAGACTTCTTTGTTCATTTTTCAGACTGTTCTCTGTTATTCCAAGTTTTACTTAGTAAAAATGTGAAAATTCGTTTCTGTTTTTGATTTTTTTTTTAATGTTAACACAGTTTCATCTACTTTCATCTACTATTTTGCACAGTTAAGTTAAATAAGTGACAAATTAAAAGCTGAACTTGGTTGTAACTGTTTTTAAATTCAGTTACAAGTTGTCAGACCGGCTTCTGTTTCCTCTTGGCCTGCTTCATTTCCTGCTGCTGCTGCTTCAACCATACTTCCTCCAGACTCATACAACCACCTGTAACACAGACAGTCAGAGAAAATACCTGACACTAAACATATTGAATATTTAAACGCATGTGTGTGTGACTCACCAACACTGCTGGGTTTACTGGAGACGTAAGCCATAGCGCCTCTAAAGCAGCCAGCTTGGCCTCCGCCGCTGTGCAACCAATCCCACGCAACAATTAACACTGATACACATCTTATTTGAGTCCACCGCTGAGGAAACATGAACATGACAACTCACTTCTCTGGATCTCTCTTCTTGTGTGAGGGTTTGGGGGGATGACAGTGAAAGCTCTGTGGTTGAAACAGAAAAACACACCCTTCTTTATTTCACATGTGAAGCACATGAATATTTCAACTCTATGAGCGCAGGGTGAGGAGTGGAGTCCCGTGCCCACAAACACATTCAAGACTGAGGTTGTCAAAAATATGTACCACCCTTTAAAGGGAACATATTATGATTTTTAAGTTTTATGCCAAGTAGGTTGTTATGATTACAATATTTACCAAGCAGAAATGTCCTGCTGTAATCTCTGTTACTGCAGTTGTTTGTCTTCCACACTCATATTCCACATTGGATTCAGGCTTGAACATATATGGCCACATTTCAGGTGCTTTTATGTCTACATTCCACTGTGCTCAGAAGAAATTTGTGCGTTGTCCCAGTAGTATTATCCAGTAATTTCAAATTTGGATCACATGCAATGACAAAAAAAAGGGCTTGAAGAAACAGAGGCAAAAATGAGCCATTTAAGACAGAGGGTGAATAGAGGTTCTTCATGGGGAACCATCACAAAACAAGTAAAACTTTCACTGGGTTTGTTGATTGTAATAAAATATTTCCATATTTAATGAGACAGTAACATCTATAACAAACCATATAATGTGGGGGGGATGGGGGACACTAAATGGTGCCTCTGGATGTCCTCCTGTCTCACCTCAGACTTGAAAACTTGGTCTCAGCCCTGACTCTCCGCTTATCCATCTGGACCGGACAGGCGGTCGTTTCCCAGCATTTTGGCTTCACCGAGCTTGTCGCCCTCCGGTCGTCCGGATTTGTTCTGGGCCAGTTTTCGGTCGGTTTGGGAGCAGCAGAGTTGGACCTGGCTCTCCTGTGGCAGCTCGTTTTGGAAGAGGTTCCCTGCGCTCCGCTGGTGGCCCTGCCACACCTGTCCTGCTTCTGACACCTGGAGCAGCTTGACGCGTGGATTTTACTCACAGCGGGCACTTCGAGTTCACTTTCTGCTGATTTAACCTTCACCGGTTTGATTTTCTCGAAGGTCTTTTTTGTCGCCTCCACTGGTTTAGGCTTAAGAACCTTTGCGGCTAGCGTCCCTGGCAGTTCAAATCAGGGTTGCGTCAGAAAGGGCATCTGGCGTAAAACACATGTCAAATGTCAACATGCGAGTCGTCAGTGTGACGATTCGCTGTGGCGACCCCTAAATGGGAAAAGCCGAAAGTGTCTTTCTTTCTAACCTTTGTGGCTAGCATTTTTATTTTGAGACTTCTGTCTCCGAGCTCAGTTTATGGAGGAGACCCATCATCCTTTCCCGGTAGCCTCCTCTGTCAGGGCCGCTCGGCGGCCGCTGCCTCTCCTCCATTTTTTTCTCCTCTGGTCTCTCTATCCTGTGGGCTCTGCACCTCAGCTGTGTTGCATTCCAGTAATTAGCAACTGGTTTGTCAACGCACACAGCTGGGGTGCATCCCGATGATTACTTTTTCCTCCCTATTTATACCTCGGGCAGACGCTCCGCTGTCGCCGGATCATTGTGACATGTTATGGACAATACTTACCCTGTGTAAGTTAAAGAAATGTTATGTTTGACCCGCATGTTTAGACGCTACGCTGACAGTTCCTGTGCGTTTTTGGCTTGACCTATTCACGCTATTCTGCGGCTGGTTATATGTCCTTCTGTCGTCCACGCTGACAGTCTCTGTGCGGTGGATTATATTGTGTACGTTGGTTCTTTTGTTCGCCTGTTCGTCCACATCCTCTGTTATTCCCAGTTCCTGCCATCAGTGTACCCCCTCGTCCTCCCCCCCCCTCCGGGTGGGGGAACCCAACCATAACATCCTCCACTAAAGACAGTATAAATATAGCATCTCGACTTTTCGGCTCTGGTGAATAGGTTGCTATAAGTTCACTTTAGCAACCCCAGAGTCACCTCTAACAGTTTGAAGTAACACTTCTGATTCTGACTTTCAAAATAAAAGCCCAATTTATATGAAACAACACCAAAATAACTAGAGACGAGTCAAGAAAAGTCAAAACATTAAGAATATCCCGTTAGATATGTTATGTCAGTGTAAGCCAAGCAGGTTAATGTTACAAAATAGCCATGTACAAATCATGAGTCGTAGTTTAGGACATAAAATATGGACACTTTGTCAGGTCCGCTCGGCGTGACCTGCCTCTCTTCTGCCTTTCTCTCCTCTGCTCTCTCGATCCTGCGGGATCTGCACCTCAGCTGTGTTGCTTTCAGTAATTAGCGACTGGTTTGTGGTGTGCACAGCTGGGGTGCATCCCGATGATTACCTTCTTCCTTATTTATACCTCTGGCAGACGCTCCGTCGTCGCCGGAGCATTAACATACCTAACTTGCATACATGTTACAGCCCTATATTTGTGGTATGTATCGGAGTCGTTTTGACTTCCACGCTGACAGTTCCTGTGCTGTGGATTTCTTTTTTCGTTCGCCAGTCCTCCTGGTTCATTTGTTTTTTCACCTGTCCGTCCTCATCCTCACTCTGTTTTTTGCCGTTAGCCTGTCTTCTCCCCTGGTCATCCTGTTCTCCTTAGCCGTATTTGCTCAGCCCTGGTTGTACTGTATGTGTTCCTCGACTCTGTTCCTTTTTGTAATCCCAATCAATAAACTACCTGTTTTTATACTAGCACCTGGGTCAGCACTCGAGTCCAACCTCAGTTAATCCTGGTGAGGGGGACTAAACCTTAACACACTTCTGATAAATCTGCATCAGGTCCACTCTCAGACCAAAATCCGTGTTAATAATTCACAATTAAATAATTGTTGAGGTCGTTTTGAAGGGGGGGGGGTAAAACACAAAAAATTCATTGTTTCCGACCATTCAAATGACAATGCTGGTTAACTGAGCACCTGTGACCTCTGGGCAGATGGTCAGACAACCTAAACGGTTTCAGAATGTCAACATAGTTTTTATGGAAAATTTACATTTTTTTCAACATTTTCTAGACAACTGTGATGAGAAGGGCCACACACACAGCTGCTCTTTTCACAGATGTCATTAAACAGACACGGTTTCATCTTATGTCTTAAAGTGTTAAACTGTTCCTTTCAAACTAAATGTAAGGCCATCAGCATAATTAATAGTGCTGAGGTGCTTCATACAAATAAAATTACTTTTATATTAGTTTATGATTATTAGCTGCAACCCTACATGTATTTCATAAGATCCTTTACCAGGCCTTTTCTTTTACAGCCTCGTATGTCATTGTGTTAGCAGGGCGGCTGGTTTCCGGTACCGTCCTGCCTGCCTGCGCTGAGCTTGGTGCACCTGCAGATTAAAGTACATGACGCAGCATAGTATTTGTTGTCGGTAGGTGTCCGAGGCGCACAGAGCCAAGAGGCTCATCCGATTACTGACAGGGGCCTGTGCACAAGTCACGTGGCAACAGAGTGTGAGATCACAGGAAACCGCACACAAACTCTGTAGCCTAACAATGAAGAATAGAAATGATACGAGAAGTTGACAGAAATGAAATATCTTAAGCAAACAACAAAGGCACACTAAAAATATTAGAAGGTAGTTTAAATCTGAGATGCTAAGAAACACCAAGAATATTTCACTTCAGTGCCACTGTCGTCTCACCAGTGTCTGAACCTTCCTTTGCACAAATGTCACACAGTCTACTCACTACACGCATACAATCAATAGTCTATGTTCATTATTATTATTCATTAGTATTGTTCTATTGTGTGCTTTACTATATTCTAGCGTTCTGTTGTTTTTTACTTTTATTGAAACGTTTGCTCTGCTGCTGTAACTGAATGTATTACAGGGTTATTCAAAAAGAATGAACCGATTTCATTACGCAATATTTTATTAAGGAAAAGTAATACAAAACTCCAGCCAAGTCACAAGTATTCTACTCACAATCAACTTTTATTTCCTGTCTTACAAGTGTTCAGTGTGGGCACAACAACAGCGATCAACTCAGTGGATCGTGATATGCTAATACGCGCCCGGGAGGAATTCTCTTATCGCATTGATGTTGCCCGTGGTGGCCACATTGAACACTTGTAAGAGTACACACAGCAGTTATAATTGGGTTATTACATATTAATGCATCATCTATAATAATCCAATAACATGCTGTAAAAAGGGGTCATTCTGCATCCTGAGAGGTTTTTTTTTTTTTGATGTTCTGTAGTTTTCCTCAGGCAAAATGTTGAATTCAATTATTTTAGTTGTAATGGAGTGTTTCGCTATGTTGTAGGTTTTTTTTAACATATGTAAATAACCTGAATCCTTCTTAGTAACATGGTGTGGCGTCGTGTCAGTTAGGCTAGAGCGCGCGCGCTGTGCCTGGCGCAGCCTGGTTGTGTGCCCCACAGTCTGCGGTCCTCCTGAACTCTGAGTGGTGCTGTCTCGCCTCTGTCGCCCTGTAACAACGGCCTTCTATCGCGTTTCTCGGACTGACCGGGCCCTTTGCAGCCGCCGCACATTGGCCCCGAGCCGGGCTGAATCCCACCGTAGACCCGGCAGGTGCGACTGTGGTGCTCCACCGGATAACGGCGGCCAACGGCTCTCCCCTGAATGCTGGTTCTATGGACTGCTCCGCGGAAAAGCCCGGGCTGTGATGAAACCCTAAACCCAGTGTGACACGCACAAGCCTCTGCTCATCATTAGCGAGCCCGTCCTGCGTTACAACTTTGCCTTTCTGTCTCTGTGCGGAGATAACGTGAGATTACCGGAGGTGAGGCTGGTGAAATTATTGTTTGGGGGAGGGTGACGCGCACTTCGTAGATCTTGCGCTGCCAGACGAGGAAGTGAGGCTTCATACACGCCCATTTCAGCCTGTCGACCCTGCTAAAAAGCCAGTTCATCTGATAACAGCAACAGACTTTATAAACATGCGTCCACTTTCGGATGGACGAGACCGGGAGTAACCTGCACGACGACGCTGATTACCGGAGGTAGGTGACCACAGTGCTTTACTTAGAACGTGGACATGACCATTTCCCCAGATGTTACTGGGCTACGGTGAGACTTCTGCACTGTCAAGGCCTGTCTCCATCTTTTTTTTTTTACAGTCACATGCATGATCTTTGGCCTAGTTGTCATCGGCGTGCGCTGCGACTCATTGTTGCCTTTGCTATTGTCTGCGGGACTAAAGTGAGGCTGTGGGCCAGATGTCAACATCTGTCCGCCGTGCGTGCGTGGACAGGCACCTGCTTGTGCGGTGATGTTGCGTGAATTAAGCAAAGTTCAGGCTGCAGTTTGAGCCCATTGGAGCCCTCGGATCAGTTTCCATATGTCTACACCTGTGACTGAGATAACTTCGAGTGAGTTGTTCTATAGAGGCTGTATGGATCTCCTCATTCTGGGGGTCGGGGGGACCCACTCCTGGGCTATTGGAACGGTTAAAACTGCACAGTCCATATACTGTATATTGTCTCTGCAGCTGATTGATTTGAACATCTGCGGCTGTTGCTCAGACAAACGACTATTGAAGATGCTCTGGGACCATGTGACGGTTATTTTTCATAATTAACCCAAACCATTAATCAGTTAATGAAGAAAATGATCAGAGTCATTGATAATGACACCTTTAGGTGCGTCAGTCATTTACATGACCTACATTAACCTAAAGTATGTATGCATCTGTAAAAAGTGTATATGTATGTATTTTATAATTGTTAAATACAGGAGTAGCGGATGAAATGAGTATAATGAGTTGGAGTAATGTATGGTCATAAGGTATAGTATCGGTTGATGTGCAGAATATTTTTCTTGGTTAATCATTTAACTGTTTCCTTTAGAAAGTGTGAGAAATTAGTGAAATGTCCATCACAGAGACCAGTGTGATGTCTGTAAATGTCTTGCACTGTCCAGTTAAAAGTAAAAGAACATATATGACAAAAAGCAGTAAATCCTCGTACACACACTAGAACGGGGGTTTGCTAGTTTTTTTTTTTTCTTAACAGGTCACTGAAATCGAGAGTCCATAATCAAATGTTCAGATGGCTGTAGAGACCTTGGGACACAAAGGTGTCCAGATGTCCTTATAAAGTCAGTGACTCCCTGTGGGATGAGTTTTCAGTTTCCTTTGCAGTGGTGGGTCAGATTAACTGCTGCTATGGCTCTAATCCAAAACACACAGCTCAGGTTGATATTGGTGGTGTAATGTGTCAGTCAGTGCTCAGAGTGACAGTCAATGAGCATCTAGCTCCAACTGTGGCCCAGATGAGTGTCACATGATGAAGTCCTTAAAACAACCAGGAGAGACTGTCACACAGTAAAAAAACTAATATTGTTTTTATGTTCTGGGTGTAGAGTATACCATCGGGTGTGGGCCCACATCCAGCCCAGTCAGATACAATATTTGTCTTAGCTACATACGAGGATCCATGTTTCTGTCTTGTCTTTGTATAGCTGGGGAAACTGTCTCTAAGAAGTAGCCTGGGCTAGGGATGGCACTGAACCCTACACGGTGCAGTGATCTGATGTACTAATCCTATTGATCTGTGTGTTAATGGCAGTGTGCTCCAGTTTTGCACAATGGACAGGGAGCTGGTTCAGAGCCAGTCAGACCACCAAGAGTCCACAAATGGAACCAGTTCTCAGACCTCCACCACCACCCCCGACTCCACTGCCCCTACGACCCCCACCCCTCCTCGGCTGACCCCAAACCCCATGCTCCTAGACTCCCCTGCGCCCACGTTAACGCCCACCACCTCCTCCCCTCCACCTCCTCTCACCCCTGCTCCTTCTGTTTCTGCAAACCATGGTGCAAAAGCGGCAGCTGGTGCTCCATCTCCCCACATCCTGGTTTCTGCCCCTCCCAAGCTCACCTCCACCACAACCCCTGCCCTCCGCACATACTCCCGCCCGATCCTTCCCTCCATGACAGGTGTCTCCAAAACACCTCCCACCACACAAACCTCTGCTTGTCTCCCTCCATCCACTGCTTCCCCTTCCTCCTCCACTGCTATAGCCAGCACAGCCTCCCCCCTCCTCTCCTCCTCTTCCTCTGCAACACACAGCAACACCATGTCAACCAAGACCTCCACCAGCCTGACCAACGGGAATATGAGGCCTGTATCGACGCTGACCTCTACACCAATAACGCCCTTTCATACACCAGCCAGTCCAGCTGTCAGACAGGTAACACTCGCAACAGGTAACACTCGCAGCTAGAAGACACCACATATCACTTTAAAAATGGTTTAATATTTTGAAATTATTTGGGAAACCTTCTTATTTGCTTTCTTTGAGTGTGGTACATATGAAGCTAAAACCAGCAGCCAGTTAGCTTAGCTTAGTGGTACCAACAAAGCTAACTACTAAATAAGTTGCATTTTGTTGGTTTCCTCTGTAGAAAAACCAAATTGTAAAGATGACAATTGTGTGTTTACAGGGGGTTGCATGCTAGGCTCTTTCTTTGCTAGACACCCTGATTTCCTTTCACATTCGTTTTATGTACAGATCAATGTATTAGGCTAATTTAGTCACTTTTGGAAAGAGCCAAGCTGCGGTTTCTCTCTGTTTCCAGTCTTCATGCTAAGCTAAGCTAACCGGCTCCTGCTTAGTATTAAATGGACAGACCTGGGAGTAGCACTAATCTTCTCATCTAACCGAGGACAATAAAGTAAATACTCAAAAAATGTCTAAATATTCCTATAGATATATGCATTTGCTTCATAAACAACAAAACACTGCATCGTTTTCCAAGAAGAGCAACAGGTGGTTTATACCTGAAGCTGGCTCAGATACAAATAACAGTATGTCAAGTGTATTATGGGAAATGCAGTTGCATTAGATATTTCACCTGGTATATTGTTGGTTGAATTGTCCTCAGACTCACAATGGGCACACTGTGAAATCCTGTGTCATACTGGAAGTGCTGGCATACATTACACACAGTGATTTGCTCATGTTTTGTTGTGTTTGCTGCATTAAGTAAGAAATTAACTCCAAACTTTGTGCCCAAGCACATGCTTCCTCAAAAAGTCAGTTTGACTCGGCACCTGTGAGGACAGTTCACAGCTGCTGCACCGTGTTCACCTGTGTTTTCAGAGACACAGCACCATAACAAACTTGGCTTGCTAGCTATATTGGCCTTTTCACAGCAGGCATTTTGACTTGTCATGGTGCAACTGATAACAAACAAACACCAAAAACTATATTCCAGTATTTAGGTGAGCTGGTTTCAGGGTCGGGCTATTGAGCATATTACATGCTGTCCTCACCTTTGCAGTTTCTCTAAACATTGTCCTCTAACTGTCCTACAACCATGGTGCAAATGAAAGAAAATCAGAGCTAATAAAATGTTGTCACTTTGAGATATTGCTCAAAAGCATAAGATTAATGCATTCAGTGAGTCGTGCAGGGAGGGCTTTGCAGATATTTAGGCCCTGGGTTTCACCTCTAAGGCCCCAGACATTGTGCACAGACATGCAAATGCAGATGCTCAAAGCTACACAAAATGAAATCCATGTGTTGTTGTGTTCTCTGCCATAAGTGAGAGCTGCAGCCTGAGAGCCGCTGGAGCATGACCCCAAAAAACAAAACAACAGTTAGTTTGACTGAGCTCTAGCTGAGCCTGTCAGAATACACAGGCTTATTTATGACATTCAGCATTAGCTCTGTGTCACTCCCGTGAGGACTGAGGTTTTTGCCCGTGATGCTGCTGCGTATGTGCACAGCGGCCCAGGGCCCCTTGGCTCCAAACAAAATTTTGTTTTATGTGTCACAGTGTATCAATGACAATAAAATAAAGCTTCTTCTTTTTCTTTCACTTCCACTGGTGAGACTGTAGGTTCAGTATGTTCATCAGGGCTGAGCACTTGTGCCGGCTGGTGTCCATCCACTGACATGGAGAGGACACCAGGGGATGGTCGACTTGTGGTGGCTTCACTCCTGTGAGGTGTCGTTCATCTTTATATACAGTCTATGGTTGTTAGTGGCTGTTCTGACTAGCCTGTATGATGTGGCCACGATGTGAGTGGCTTCGTTCACTTTTCCAAATTGCGAGTTTTCATTTTGGTTAGCCACACTGCTAACATAGCCTACTCTACCGGCTGGTAGATAAAGAACACTGTTTAACTTCCAGTAACTTAACTAACAAAGGGCGTGTCCTTATGGTGCATTAACTGCTGCCCAAATTCAAGAGTGAATAGCAGTGAATGCTCATGCTAACAAGGTAAACAAAAGAGTCTTCTTCCCTTTGGCGTCTATGTTCTGACCGTCCCCCCTATGTGATTGGTCAACAGAGCACCTTTGCTGGATGATGTCACCTGATCCAACTTTTTTGGCGCAAGGGGATCTGGCAAAATGCTGGTGCTGGCTGCTGTGAATCCAGTTCCCCATCGAAATGAATGGAAAGTGCTGTGTTTTTTCACACCTGTAAAATTCAGTCTGAACATGGGCTTAATGACCAAAATCTGTTTGTATCACCTGGTATCAGAAAGTGGTAAATACTGAAAACTGACATTGGCTGTCTGGTCAAATGCAGCTACTTTTTAATTTGTTCTTAAATGGACTTAGGTTGAAATAATTTGACTTCTTTTGTTAAATGACATAAATACCTAACACCAGAAAGTGAGAGCGTTTTGAGCACTACTGGTGTGCGCTGACATCGCAACAGCTCTGACGGGCATAGGTGAGACACAGTGTGAAGAGAGCAGCCCTGCAGCTGTCCATACCGACTGCTGTCTGGGTTTGTCTGCGTCTGACTGTTGGGGTTACGGTTTCCTCTCTGTTTGCTTCCATCAGAGCACGTTTCACATTATCAGGCCACATGCTTCTGGCTTTGTTTGTTTTGTGAATAAACATATATTTGAGCTGTGAAAGCCTCAGCCACATACTGTGTACACACATGCAAACAGTTGACAGTGCTTTACTACAAGGGGGCTGTCGTGTAAAACAAGAACTGTCTAGACTATAGATGTTTACTGTAAGTGCTGGTGCTTTTCACCACATTTAACGCCCACTCAAACTTGAGTGCTTGAAATATAGCTCTGAAAAGTTTGTAGTCTTCTAAGTTACAGTAAACTGCGCCGTATAAATATAATTGCCATCCTTGGTTTGATGCAGTCTTAGGTACGGTACGTGAAGGGTGAGGGCGGATCAGTATTACCGACACTCAGTGTAGTGGATTGTAAATATTGCTGTTAGCTTCCCGTCACATGTACCCGGCTCCAGTGTGAACATGGCTGAGTATGGATTCTGATCTGACCACTCTGACAGCGCTCGTACAGTCAGAGGCTGGAGAGGAATCGGGTCTAGGAGCACATATGTAGGTGCCCCAGATCTGGTCTGGTCTGTCAGACTTCACTGTCACTAGGGGTGAGAAAAAAAATCAGACTTGAGTTAGTTCAGCTGTGATGTGAACGTACAGTAGCTTAAATGTTAAATGAGGTTCAATCACACGAAAAAATGTGACATGTAAACATTCATGAACTGATTTATCATTAGAATGGATGTATTGTACATTTTAAACTTGTAATTTAGGAGCTTTTTCAGATAGTTTCTGTACAACATCACTGAGAACATAACTTTTTTCTTTACTCTTTTTTTTTCCACCCTTTGTACACACAGACATACACACACGCACAAGCCTAACACACATCACTGTTTGCTTTTCTACAAAGTGTAATAAGAAAATGTTGCTGCTCTAAATATCTACCTTAATTGCTTCCTTCTCCTCCCCTGCCCTTCCCTCCTCTTGTTCCTTTGTTTCAGGTACCACAGGCTCCTGTGGGCACACCAGGTCTTGTGCGAACCAACCAGAGCCCCTCCCCTGCCAGACAGAGGGTATCCCAGCAGACATTGCTCCTAGGGAAAGGTCTCAAAGGGTCTGGCCAAGACCAGGTGCTGCTTAGAGCTCAGATGGTAAACATAGAAACACACACAAACACACATTTACAAAGATTTCTGCAGGTTTTTCTGCTGCCTGGAGGAGTAGCAAGGAAATACAGACGCTATAGAGTTTATGTTTAAGCACCAGGTGAAAGCGTGCAGGCTGGGTCCAACAAATTTTTATAGTTTTGGTGACCACTGGTGTTGGCACATATGGGCACAATGTGGAGGGGAGGCTGAACTCATTATTAGCTGCAGGAATGAACATGAAAACAAAGAAAAAATAAGTCTGAGCAACATGCTATGAACCGATGGACAAATTTTCAGTTTCCACAATGACAGCAAATTCGACCCAGTAGTGCAGGAAGAGATGAAACAAAAGGATGTTATTCAGTGTGAGGCTGAGTCACTCTCACACAGCCACATTCATCCCCAGTGCTTGAACAGAACTGTGCTTTAATCCCTGCTCTCCTCTGTTCATCTCCTCCTCCTCCATCTATTCTCCCTTTCCTTCCCTTCTCTCGCTGCAGCTGATTCTTACGTCTGCTATGCGACCCGCCATACCTTCCTCTTCCTCCTCTTCCTCCCCCCCTTCCTCTAACGCTGCCTCCGCTCAGGTGAGCAGCTGAACTAATGTGACTTTGTGTGCATGTACATATTTCACTTTACCGTTCAGTACGCCAGCCACCCTTAGTTGCTGATGCTACACCTGTCAGGCTTTCCATTGATGCACTGCCCATATTCTGTAGACTGTGGCTGCAGCTAACCACCAACCAGTCTGCTCATAATTTTTTCAGTTAAATGTTTTGTCTAAAAAGTATTAACAACTCAATTAATGCAGTAACTGTTTCACCTACATCCCAGATTTGATCAGCTTTCGCTAGTTAGCTAAACAAACTACTATTGGCTTCGTTGTGCTATTAGACTTATGAAAACCTTAAGTGGACCTTTTAATGTGTTCAGCAGTCTCATTTTAAATCCTGATTGAAAGGGTCTTATATGATGTATGTAGTATGTGATGGCTCGTGCTATAAGACTGAGGCTAAAGGTAACAGGTGACAAGAGAAGTCAACATCCTCATACGTTAATGATTCATGTACTGAAAATCTTCTACAACAAAACAGACTCGTCACCGTCGAGTCTCAAACATTTTTCTGACTTTTTTTAACCAAAAGAAATTTTTTTGAGAAACTAATCTGCAGACTCATTGATAATGAAAATGAGTGTTGCAGCCGTTGATGTAGAAAATGGAAATACACACATAAAGTAAAGTCCTTGAAACAATATTAGTGTACTACCACTGTTGGAAATGCTCAGTAGGCTCTGTTGCTTTTACTGCAGCACCTTTGCAGGCTGCTTTACACCTGTTTGCATAGTTATAGTTGCTAAGCTATGATTGGACAGTCACTGTTTGGGGGTGGGGTTTAGAAAACACCTAGAGCAGAAAAGCCTGGAAGAACAAAGATGTGTCTGAGATCTAAACGAACATCTCTTTCTGTTTGCTCCCCTGTCCAGCTCCAGAGTCTCACCCTGAGGCCTCCCCCCCCAGGGGCCCTCACCATCCCACCCTCTCTGCGCAGAGAGCCCGACCACCCCCAGCCGCCACCTCTCCGTTCCACCTCCAAGTAGGTTGATCAGGGTGGGAGTCCCCCGAACAGCACGTATGTGTTAGGTTTTATTTTAAACCCTAGTTTCAGAAGTTGGGAGGACACAATAAAGCCTCTGCAATAGATTAATCAAGAATCTAACTCATTATTGTAATTAGGCTTTCCATAGGGATGTTACTCCAACAAAGGCATTATAAATATAAAAATTATTTACTGAGGAATGCAGGAATTTATTATTTACTGATGTACTTACTATATTTAAAAATAAAATGTTTATTTAATGATCCTAAATGAAAAATACTGTTGTATTTGCATCTATCTAGAAAAAGCCCTGTCTTCTGTTATCTGTGATTGGGTGTTGTGTCGTTTTAGGAGAATAGAGACTGTAAATCAAACTACAGCTAAGTGTTATTATCCAGAAAAGACTGGGAGCTAGCTGTATTGTACTTTATTCAGACCAGGCTTCCTATGGTAACAGAAAATTCAAATTATCAGAGGTCAGTTTGCCGCCCAAGAGATAGAACTTGTGGCAAAAAGCATCAACAAAATGTGCTGCTGCTCATAAACCTCATGAACGCATTTGTGCTTCCACAGCTCTGTACTCTCCAGTTCGAGCCGTCCCTCTGAGACCCAGGCTTCTTTCTCCAAATGGTCACAGAACGGCGACACCTCGACAATCCTCCACCCTCCAACCAATCGCTGCTGCTTCCTCCAATCAGGCCTCTCGCGTCAGCAGGCCGCTGGCACCGTTGTCTCAGACAGTGCTCACTCCCAGCCAGTCCCAGCACACTCCGTTATCTGTGACCAGCCCCGTGTCTGCTACTTCCCATTTCGAACACTCACCTTGCTTCAAATCATCGCCCTTTCTTCCGGTCGCCAGCCGCAACCCGGTACATACACCCACACTTCAGTGCAGTCGCCTGCTCCAGCCGTTGAGTCGCCTGAGCTTTCCAGCCAATCAAAGAAGACTTTGAGTACCGACAAAATGCTTCCACTTCCTCTAAACCCTTCATTGCCAAAAAGCGCCTCTCCCCTGCCCTCCCCTCCATCTCTACTGAGTCCAGCCTCGCCTCCTAGTCAGGCTGAACCCCAGTTACAGATTCTGGTTCAGAAAGGAGAGGTGAAGGAGAGCAGGGAGCAGAGAGAAAGAGGACGAGGTGTAAAACCAGCCATCGGAGACGAGGGGAGTGTTGTTAAAGACATTAAGGTGGAGAAGGAAGACCAAAGAGAGACGGAGGAGAAAGAGAGGCTCACGATTGATAATGAAGTCAATCATAAGGAACAGAAAGTTGAAACTGGCAAAGAGGAAGAACAGATGGACGTGACAGAAGAAGGCCAGAGGGACAGAGAGACGAGAGAGGAAGGCAAGGAGAAGAAGATGATGGAGGAAGTGGGAGGAGAGACTGCCATGGACCAGTCTGAGAGCCTGACCAGTCAGGCTCCCCATCAGTACCAGAACACAGATCCTGTCCCAACCTCTGATACTGTGAAGGATTCTGCCTCGGAGATAAAACCGGTCCTGAGTCTCATTTCAGCCCCAGTTCCAGTCCAAACCCCAGCCCTTGTCCCAGCTCCCGCTCCAGAAGTCCCTGTGCAGAGTCAGAGGCTGGCCGAGTCTCATCGGGATCTCCAGCCTGTGAGCCAGGAGGACTTCTGTGAGATCATGTCAACCCAGTCTGACAACCAGTCAGGTAACTCCAGCCACACACCTCTAGACCTGGCTCAGCACACCACACTGGTGGCTTTGCAAGTTTTAAGTACAACTTTCAGTAATCTGTACTTTGAGTATACAATATTTTCCACAAATCTTGTACTTTTTACTGCACTGCATGCATTGATAGCCTTACTTTTCAGAATCAATAAAACAATAGAGTAGAACCATCAGACTTTATTGATTCTTTTGAGAAATCCACCAGCTACCCAGCAGGATAGAAGGTACTTCACAGTATAAGTATGTAAGGTAGTTACCATCAGCTCCACCTTTACCAGCTGCAGCGTTAAAAAACAATGCATCAGTCATTATAATATCATATACATCAATGTGAAATGTGCAGTTCTACAGAATGAGTACTTTTACTTTTGGTACTTCAAGTATATTTTCCAATTTCCAATGTCCCAAGTTTTATTCAGGTGTTTGCAGGTTGAAATATTGGTATGAATTAAAGTTTGAGTACCAAGACACACCCACACAACTTGTCCTAGCCCAAGGCAACATTACTCACATTTTTATTTGGTCTTACCCAATGTAACTTTAGCGACACAAAGCAACACTTGTATTAGTTGTTTTTAAACTGATATTTTATGGCATCTTCATGTAGTAGAGCATTTGTTCAGATTCATGTGATGTCCATTCTCTGAGGACATTTAGCAGCTTTTCATGTGATCCCAAACAATATCCAGGTATCTCAAACAGCTCGGTGATGTTTTTGCACTCTGCTCCTTCCAGCGCTGTCCAGCCTCTCCTCTCAGTCACCCCCCTCCTCACCATTTATCACCGCCTTGGCAGAAAACTCGCCTCCCCTCCTTCCCGCTCAGAGCACCCACCTGACTGACCTCAGCTTGCGGCAGCACGAGACAGAGAATGTCGACAAAGCAGAGTCGCAGCAGCTGGCCGAGACAGAGCCCCTCAGCCAATCTGGAGATGAGTTGGAGAGCTTCAGCCCCTGGGAGCCGAGTGTGTGGCCTGAGGGGCGACAGGTTCTGACTCACCTGGTGGAAGGATTTGTCATCCAGGAGGGGCTCCAACCATTTCCTGTATGAACACATACACACACACACACACACACACACACACTAAGCACATACAGTGTTTGATCAATATCACACTGACGACTAGCGGCCAAACCAGAACAGACCAAAGTCACACTCAGCAACACGAGCACTAACCTGGTGGGCTGTTGTAAGTGGTTGGCATGGATCAGTAGTTTGGCTTAAGCTTCATAAAGCTCCTGCACATCAAATATCAGTGTGTCATGAATAGTGTTGTCACCAACATTTTGGTACCGGTACCGGTACCAAAATGTATTTCGATACTTTCGATACTTTTGGATAGTTTTTCAGATAAAAAGAGAATGCAAAAAAAAGTCATTACTGACTTTATTTTAATAGAAAATCTTAGAATAACATCAAAATAAAATTCAAAATACTAGGCTTTTCTTATTGCACTCAAAAAAAAATTTTTTTAAGAACAGTCAGTGTGAGTAAATAAAAAGTATGAAGTTAGAAGTTCTAACTTAGAACAATTAGAACAAATAAAATTATTTGAAATTAAAATAAGCTAGCAACTGTAGCAGCAAAATCTCTTATTTTCCTATCAACATTATGTCCCTTCTCCTTACTCCCTCTCTTGCCTACTATTGGGTGGCTGATTCTTTTGGAGTAGACTATCTACTGAGTCTGACTCAGGCTTTTTGTCTTGTTGAGATTCTTGGCCAAGAAAACCAAAATGTCTAGGTGTTCCTCACTCAATCTAGAACGCCTTGGACTACAGATATTTCCAGATGTGCTGAAGACACGTTCTGATGCACAGCTTGATGCTGAAATGCACATATATTGTCGTGCAAACTGAGCCAGGATGGGAAGATCAGACTCATGATGACCCCACCAGGCTAGGGGGTCCTGTGCAGCACTTATATCTCTTAACTGTTCATAGTCATCACACGGTTTAGTTTGTCTTTAGGTGTTGTCAATGTGGATGAATCGTGTCCTGTTGAACTGTCTGCTCCCCTCTTTTCCTGGGTGATGGTGCAGAGCAGGCTTAGATCACTTCTTTTTTTTTTTTTT